CGGCGCGACCAAAAATGTCGCAACAATTGCCGCCAGGCAATGCCTGATGGTACGGACTCACCTATTTGGAGAGCACTTTCTGCACAAGCGCAGCCCTTGACTTCGATGGAAGTCCATGATTGAAGCAGCAGCCGTTCTTTGTGACAGGTTGTGCGCCTCCGTCCAGAATCAGTTGCTGTTTTCGGGATGGAGGCTTGTTGTGAAAGTTGGTTACTCTATGTCCTGCGACCTTACTGAGATCAGTAGGGAGTATGCTGTCAGGCCGAAGCCGGCCAAGATGAGGCAGAGACTGTTTCCCATTTTTCCAGAATCTCTCCACCTGCCCAAGTTTGGAATGGAGGACAGCAGTGAAAGTGAATCTGGTGGTTTGCTTGAAGTGGCAGAGATGCATCGGTCACTTCAAAAGTGCAGCGCTCAGCATGTCTTGTGGGGCGGCCATTTGCAAATGTCCAACACGGTGGTGACGTCATCAGGTTGTCCACCCAAAGAAAGGTTCCAGCGCTCGGGCCTTAAGCGACCCCAGGGCAAGTTGGCAAACGGGCAAGGGTGGCCATTGATCAACGACACACGAGTTCTTCAAGGTCTTGCAATTTTTTTTAATCAGCTATGTTCTACTTTTCAAAACCTTGAACATAATTCCTGACGCTTCGCGTCGACCGCCGCCCACACCTTCTTTTTTTTTCGGTCGTCTGGGGAAAGACGGAGTGGACGGGGGAGGTGGGAGTGGTGTCCAAAAAGATGGCTTGTTTGCCGCAGCGTCTATGGCCATGTTGCGGCTGAGTTAAGCACAAGTTCGCTCGTTTGTTGGCCATGTTAAAGCCAATTCAGGCTCCAAGTTCGACCGTTTTGTGGCCTTGCCCCCGCTTGGTTAGTCCACATTACATCATGTCAAGGCTAGCTTGATCGTTTGGTGACCCTGTGTTGAGGCTACGTGTTTTTTTTGCAATAATGCTGGTTATGCGTTGCTGGTCAGGAGGGTTTTTCAGCATCGTTGGTGTTCGTTTTTTGGCTTGCTTGTGTTCTTGCAACAATAGTTCAAGAATGTACATCCAATAATGCTGGTTATGTGTTGCTGGTCAGGAGGGTTTTTCAGCATAGTGGGTGTCCATTTTTTAGTTTGTTTGGGTTCTTGCAGAAATAGTCCAACAATGTACCTCCAAAACGCTCTCCCCCATGGCCCTCGAGGCGTAAAACATTTTCCCCGAAACAAAAAAAGAGAACCCCCCCCTAGCAGAGCTATGAACTGATTACGATGTGATGATTGACTGACGATGATTCCAGCTTGACCCGGCCCTAACACGCCCTGCACCGCAAGCGGTGTGGGCGGACTTCTTCAATTTACTTTCAGTTATTTCCTTTTCAAATTATGTTCTACTTTTCTGCATATCTAGTTTCTTCCTTTACGCTCAAGGACTGTCCGTAGCAACGATGCAGATAAAGCTGCTGGTTTGGCTTGGGTCTCAAGAGTGTGTGCCTTGTGCTGCTAAATTCAGCTGGAGGTTTATAATGCTCTTATGACCAACACTGATGGGGGAAGGCATTGCATCCGGTTCCTGTCTCAACAAAAGCACCGCTCTCAGTTACTATTTTCAACTCTATCCCTTAGCAGCTCTGTTGAGAGCCAGGTTTCAAAAAAGATTCCTCCAAGGCGCTGCTGCAGAACATGTTTTCTTGCGTAATTTCATGTTTGCTTCAGTCGAATGTCAGGAAAAAACCTATTGCAAATTTTAGCTCGGATTCGGACTCAGGCAGGTGGAAAACCACAATTTTTTGTGAACCCTATTGTAATTGTAATCGTGATTAATATGAACGCAGGTGGAGGTGGCTTCGACCGAGAACACCGAAGAAGAATGCCTGCTCGGGAGCCCCACCAGTTGCGGATGGTGGCAGGGCATAGCCAGGTGGTGTCAAAGGTCAAATGAGCATTTTGCCTTTGCTTTGAGCTTAGAAAACACGTACAATCCTTTTTTTGGTCCCATGTCTCATCGCCATTCACATTGTCTCAGCTATCCTTACCTCACCTTGTTAGCCCTCATCTCATGTTGTGAGTCCTCAAGCGGTCCATTCTTTAAACAGCTTTACAGCTTTACAGTGTTGTGAAACCTGCAGGACGCCACTGCACCACAAGCGGCAGTGCGGACCGTGCCGGAGTTCAGTTCAGATGAAAGCGCGTCAGAAGAGGCACTAAGTCATGTATTGGTTCAATTTTCTCATACTGTATATAGCTCAGCCAAATGCCAGGAACTTGTGCCTGATGCAGTGGAAGCTGCCCGGCGGTCACCTCCCGCAAGCTCACCCATGAGTGTGAGGGGCTTCAAGTCTTTCCAGTCCTTCACACAGTTTTACTATTCTCACACAGACATGCGCGCTGGTACACGGTACACGCTTCAACATTTACATATGTTTCCCCAAAAATCTACGAGCCAAATCTCCAGGGGCTAGAAGCTACGAGGGGCTCCTGGCTACTAGGAGCAAAGACGCTACTAGGGGCTCCTGGCCTTACTACTAGGAGCAATGTTTGCTACTAGGAACCAAATCATTAGTGCGAGCGCTCCTCGAGGAAGCTGCCCCACCCTCAGGCGGGGGAGCTTCCTTGAAGCGTGAGCTATCCTGCGTCCTAGCTAGGAGCGAACTTCTCCTAGTAGCTGACTCCCTTACCTACATAATCAAGTAGGTGCCTACTCAGTTGAGTAGGGGCGGGCAAAAAAGACACTTGGGCTGGAACGTCTTAGGTGCCCTCCCAGCCCTCACCTTCACGGGTGCGGACAGCAGCTGATCCTGTCAATCAGGCAAGTGAGGGCATGCTTGTATGTTGGGAGGGCACTCTATCTCACCAGGGATTGACGGTGATACGACCTGACAAGGCTCTGACAAAGTAGAGTAAGTAGAGTGATTGATTGCAGTGAAGAGTCTGTTCCAATTTGAGGTGCCTTTGATGCCACCTGGCAACTTAGAATTGCAAAGATATGGCGAAGCCGTGTTGGCTGCGTCAGGGCCTCATCGAACATGGCAACCACTATGCCTCGCAATGAAAAGGCATTGTTCGACCTGGAACACAATGATTTCACAAACAAGATCCTGAGTTCTGAACTCCAAAACTCCCCTTACTGTCAGTAGAGACTCCTCGGACTGCTCGCTTGTAAGAGATCGCTAGGCTGCTAAGTGCTTCGGAGTTTGTCTCCAGGGAAGGGCAACAATGAGAAAGCTTTAAACGCCTTGCGAGAAATCGTCCACAATGCCTTTCTGCGGTTCGGGAAAAAAATCCCAACCCTGATCTTTGCAAACTGAGCGAGGTTTGTCCGCTTTCTATGTACAGATTTGCAAGATTCTCAGGACAATCATTAATTAGCATGCATCATAGTGGCTTGCTTCCTGCCGAGGCTTACTAACTTGACGGTCATTGACGAGCCTGCAACATAGCTTTTCAAAATTGAGTGTTTGCATTGTGTGAGAGCAAAGTTTTTCGAACTCCAGGCACTTGTCACAGTCTTGGGCCGAGGTCTCACCCTTCATGGCAGCGAGAGCAGCAACTAAGGATACGGTCGACTGGATCCAGCCCAGAGGCTAGCCATGCACAGGTTCTGGTGACGTCACGAGATCAGGTCAACATGAGTTGACACAAGATGAGGAACTGACATGAGTTGATTTGTTGAACTTGCTCTGGGGGTTGTGACTCAGACTGTCTCTTTCATGCTTGAGAATTGCTTCAGATCGTCAAACAGTATGAGCCCGCTCATGTCCATGCGTTGAGCCAGTGGTTCAAGTGTATAGGCACATAAAGGTCACTTCATGCTAGCCAAGAAGTTAGACAGGATGTCTTTGACAGCAAAGACAGTGATATTGACACAATGTTGGCTACAGGATGTGATAGGGCCCCAATATCTCATGAATCAGTCAAGAGACATTGCATGTGAAGACTTTATTCATTTGCAGTGTGCTGCAGTAGCATGACACTCTTGATTACTCTTTTGATTAGCAGTAGCAGTCTTTCCATTGGTGATTCGGACGTTTCATCTGCGATGGGGAATAGAAGCAGATTGAGGCGACGCTCACCGTTGAGTCTGTGTGCATTTTGCCTCGCTCTTGTAGGCTCGGCAGCGCTGCTCGATGTCTTTGTTCTGGCAGATGGCCGACGTCGACAGACCATGTGGTTGAGGAATCCGCATGCAATCCGCCGGCAGCAGATGTGCGAGCAGACTGCTGCAGGCATCCGTCCGAGCAGACGTACAGATGTGTACCAGCTCCTTCAGCCGAGGGAACATGTACTCCGTCGGCCTGACATGTACATCGGACCTGTGGAGCCACGGAATGAGAGCATATGGATCATCGAAGAAAGCAAGGTCGTTGAGACCAACTTGATGCTATCGCCTGGCTTTGTGCAGATCTACAATGAAATCTTGGTGAATGCTATTGACCGACAGTTCCATAGTGATTTGTCCGAGATTCGCATCGATATTGATAGTGAAGACGGAAATATCACCCTGTGGAATGATGGTGGTGCCATCCCGGTGGAAATTCATCCAGATTTTGGTATCTATGTCCCAAACATGGTCTTCTCCAAGTTCATGAGTGGTGAGAATTTTGACGATACCGGGGTACGCTTTACAGGTGGCAGGAACGGCATTGGAGCCAAAGCCACAAATGTCTTCAGCAAAGCCTTTGAAGTAACCGTGGAAGACCCACGCGTTGGACTTCAATTCTTTCAGCGCTGGGAGAACAACATGGCAAGTATGTCGGAGCCGGTGATTTCCGAGCTTTCGCCAAGCGTCCAAAAGGGATCAGTGAAGGTCAGCTTTATACCAGACCTTCCCCGCTTTGGTCTGAAGCGACTCAATGATGCACACCTAAAGGTGATGAAATCCCGGGCTTTTGATGCTGCTGCCTGTACTGGATCTCAAGTTCAAGTCAGCTACAACAACGAAGTCCTCAGAGTTCAAAATTTCCAGGAATATGCTACCAATGTGCTTGGCAATGACGTGGCTGTGATGAAGGTTCATGACATGACCGGCAGAAACCGTGCTGAGGTGGCTGTGGCCTTCCGTGCCACTGGTGGTTTCTCGGCGCTGGGATTTGTGAATGGAATCCGCTGCAGCCGTGGGACTCACGTCAAACATGTCACAGATCAGATCACCAAAGGTATCATCAACCTGGCAGCAGGTGGACTGGTGGATGCCACTGTGAGGCAATACCTTCAAATTGTCATCAACGTCCTGGTTGACAATCCAGACTTTGACTCCCAGACCAAGACGCGGCTCACCACCACTACGAGCAAGTTGGGTTTTGATTTGGTGGTGTCCGATGACTTCATTCATAAAGTTGGTGAGCTTGGAGTCTTGGAGGCGGCCTTGAATGCCAAAGAGGTGTCCCGAAACAGAGTCCTCCAACGAGCACTGGCATCTGGTGCAGCTCCATCAATTGCCAAGCTGGAAGATGCGATCTACGCAGGGCGGAAGGGAAGAACTTGCACTTTGATCCTCACGGAGGGTGACTCTGCCAAGGCTTTGGCCGTGGCAGGTTTGGCTCGAGTCGGACGTGAGACCTATGGAGTCTTTCCTTTGAAAGGCAAGCCTCTGAATGTGAGAACTGCCACAGACAAGCAGATGATGGACAACCAGGAGCTCAAGCATTTGATGCATATCTTGGGATTGCACTGGGGTCAGACATTTAAGAGTGAGGAGGAGGTGATGGCCCTGCGGTATCAACAGCTCATGGTTTTCTCCGATCAAGATTTAGATGGGCATCACATTGCAGGTCTTATCATCAATCTTTTTGTGGCGCTGTGGCCTTCCCTTTTTGAGGTCAAGCCAGACTTCATCCGACGCTTTGCCACTCCGCTGGTTAAGGTCTTTGCTGCTGGAGGCGAAGAGCGCTTGGAGTTCTTTACACAGCGTGACTTTGAGCTGTGGCAAGCAAAAGAAGAGTCATGGACAAGGAGATATCGTGCCAAGTACTACAAGGGCTTGGGAACATCTACAAGGGGCGAGGCGCTGGAGTACTTTAGCAACATGGACAAGCATATCATCAATGTTGACTTTGAAGGAGAAGATGCTGTGGAAGCTGTGGAGAAGGCCTTCGAGCCCACACGAGCAGATGACCGGAAAGAGTGGATCACCGGCTACGACCCGACAGAGGAGGTGGACTACTCACAAAGTGCCATCTCCTTCAAGGACTTTTGAACAAATTGATATGAAAGAAAGAACAGAACTAAAGAACAGAAAAGAAAAGAAGGACAGAAAGAAAGAAAGAAAGATAAAAAGAAAGAGACACAGAAAGAAAAAGAAAGAAAGACAGACAGAAAGAGAGAAAGGCAGACACCTAGACGACAGGGTGGCCCGAAAGCATAGTAGGAGTAAGCATTACAACGAAAGGGTTCCAAACGAAACATGTTTTTGGGGTAGCAATGTATCACAAAGGTTTCAACCAGATCATGACTAAATAGTGGTCCATCGCCAGACATGCATGTCGGTTGTATGTATGATGACGATGTGTAATGTATGAGTATGTACAATGATGATGATGATGATGATGATGACAAAACACAGCGCCTGCCACGAAAAGTTCTTTCCCGTACTGCAGCTGTACTACAAACTGGCCACCTCTGAGTCCAGCTCCGAAAAGCTGTCACATGACACCACCAATCATCCCGCTCACCAGCGACACGCCGCGTTTACACCAGCATGTTTCGCGCTCCCCAGTGGCACGGCGCCACGCAAACGCACTTTCCACCAAAGCCGTGCAAATCCGCATGGCGCTGCGACATCACGAACGTAACTTCGCCACACGGCCACACACTAAAAGCAAACATATCACATCATACCACCAATCGTCCCGCTCACCAGCGACACGTCGCGTTTACAACAGCATGCTTCGCGCTCCTGAGTGGCACGGCGCCACGCAAACGCACTTTCGACCAAGGCCGCGCAAATCCGCATGGCACTGCGACATCGCGAACGTAATTTTGCAACACGGTCTGTCACAGACTAGCACTAGAAGCAGGCATATCACATGATACCACCAATCACCCACTCACCAGCGACACGACGCGTTTACACCAGCATGATTTGCGGTTTCCTGCACTACATTGTACTACAAACTGGCCACTTCTGAGCCCAGCTCCGAAAAGCTCTTTCCCACACTACACTTGCGCTACAAACTGGCCACTTCTGAGTCCAGCTCCGAAAAGTTCTTTCCCGTACTACATTTGTACTACAAACTGGCCACGTCTGAGTCCAGCTCCGCAAGTGAAGCGCCAAGTCTCCAAAATGAGCGTTTCGTACGAGACTTCCTCCCAAAGTGAAGCGCCAAGGCGGAGGAAGAAAGGGGGCTTTGTGGAGGACTCTCAGGAGTCTGAGCAGCGGCTTCAGCACGCGGTGGACCGTGGGCTTGCTGAAACCGATAGCGCTGGAGTTGCTGCGTGATGAGCAAGTTGGGAGCCGCAAAACAGTGGCCTGGCCGCTCCACAGCGGGACTTCTTCTTCCTATCAGATGGTGGATGGACCACTGTCACCATCAGTGCCCTCTCCAGAACCTGACCGGCGCCCTCAACTTGCTGAACGCGTTCATGGGGTTGTTGGTCGGGAAGGAGAAGGCCTTGAACAAACATGGGAATGGGAATGGACTTGGGCGGACAATGCGCCCTGGTGGTCACGCCAGTCAGCGTGGCACACTGGACGTGGATGGAGTCCTGCGGAAAGTGGGATTCCTATGATTGGGCAGACTCTTCAAGATGGAGTTCATGGCGGTGAACATGGCAACGAGCCGCCCTCGCCAGCAATCCACATCTCTACGGCTTTTTTCCACTCGCGATATGACTCAGTCGGCAAGGCTGCGAAGGAAGCCGGATAGGAGGACGGAATGCGAGGCCTTGTTGACTTCTCTGGTGTCACCTTGGTCTCACTCACAGTCTCCTCCGGCATGGCCTCCTCTTCATTGTTGGTGTTCATGCGGTAGTGCTCCCAAGCGCCTTCAGGGCATGCGGCCGCACCCAAACGACTCATTCAACCTGTCCTGATCATCGGCCTGCCACCAATCGGCAACAGGATCCACTTCTTCCAGTCGCTTGTCAGCAGCGACTGCACTGCTGTGTTCACTGGTGGCACGTTGACTCCCCCAAATTGTGCTTGAACGCGACCCTTCAGGCCCCCCATGGATTTGGGTGACAAGCGCGAACAGAATCAAGTGTTGAAACGACGACCTGAGTCCCGATCTTGTGATCATCACACCTCCATGTGGTCCATTGAGCTGTATGCAAGCTATCAATGATCCGTCGTTTGGAAGCGGTTGATGGCATTTCATCTTTGGGAGTTCATTTGTAAAGTGTGGGACTTGCAGACCTCCAAGGGTGGTTTGTGTCTTTCGGAGACACCTTGGTTAAGTAAGGCGCTCGAGTTGCAAATCATGGCTAGTCGACCGCATCTGCGTAGGGCCATTATTGATCAATGGGCCTTTGAACTCAAACATCCAGGCAACAATCGACCTATGCGCAAAAGAGCTGTGCTGCATGTCAACTCGGCTCGATTCGCTTTCTTGCTGGAGGATCGAAGTCGTTGCTCTCACCCCCGGGAAGATCATCAGGTGATTGAAGGAGCCACCGAGCCACCGTGGATGATGGTCATTGGGTTAATAGATCGTTGATAGCCGGACTTTGGACCAAAGAGCTGTGCACCCATATTTTGCAAGCAGCTTCTAACACTCTTGTGGCCGAAGAAACCCAAGATGCCCCCTTCCAGTTTGTTCGTGGAACTAACAGACCCACAGCTGAAACGCCTGGAACAGCCGTCGTGTCAGGGATGTCGCGCCGTGTTGCTTCCCATGAATGCACATTGCAATGGCAAGGGCGTGAGCCATGTGATGTCATCTTGCTTGTGCTGTTGAAATTGAAGCACCTTCCGACCAAATTGTAGGAGATCCCGAGGACCTAGCCGAATTGGCCATTCGTCGAGAGTTCAAGCGGTTGCAAGAGGAGAAAGGCCAAAGGAAGGGTGACTTGGGGGAATAGGTTTCCGGTATGGGTATGTTCGATTCACCGGAGCCGCCAGTCATTTGCCAAAAGAAGTCAGAAACCAGTTAGCTAAGCTACATGGTCACTTTGGACATCCTAGCAACGAACGGCTAGCTCGCATGTTGCAAATCAATGGGGCCAACAAGGGTATCATAGAGGGAGCCGAAGCCTTGCGTTGCAGCGTTTGTGAACGGATCACAGGTCCGCGGTCAGATCCACAAGCATCCCCAAAAGCACCAAGCCGATTCAATGAGCAATGAGTTCTTGACAGTTTCCTCATCTTAGATTGTACAGGTAAAAGGTGGAATGTGACGCACATCGTCCATGGTTTTGTTCATTGCAGTATGGCATCTGTTCACGCAATCCGGGTAGTAGCGTAGTGCAGAGCTTTTGTTCGACCGTTGGATCATGTGTCATGGCCCTCCGTCTGATCTATGTCTGGGCCGTGGCAGCGAGTTTCGAGGTGCCTTTGAATCCATGTGCTGTGTCTTTGATATACACTTGACCGTCCTTCCCAATCAGCCAAGTTCAAAGCTGGTCTGAGCGAAAGACATGGGGCAATCCTCAAGCTAATGATCCTGAGGGTCATCCATGAACTCAGTATAGCTAAAGAAGCTGAATTGCGTTTAGTGGTGTCCACGTGTTGTCAAGCAAAGAATCGTCTTTTGTGCGGAAGTGCGGCCAGGCACCCTGCAGGGCCGCGATGTCGCGATCCCATCCGCTTTGGTGCTGCAGATCGCTGATGGAGAGGTTCGCGTGAGCGCGAACTATAGTACAACACATGATGAAGAAATCGCCGCATGGAGCAGCTTGTCTGCATTCCAGTGGTTAGACTCCCATGAACGCCTTTGCGTTGCCTTGAACACTCGATCAAGACCCCCCGAAACTCGTTTCCTTGACTCGTCCAGGCACCGTCGTGTACTACCACTAGCCGCCTGGTCAACATCGACGTTTGCGAGACAATGCTGCTGGACAACAAGGTCCGGCCATCGTTGCAGCCACCGAAAGGATTGACAAAGTGTGGGTCCGGTATAAGGGTAGTGTTGTAAGAGTCGCTCTTGAGAATGTTCGTCTTGCAACCCCCCAAGAGACACTATAGACGCTAAGTATATTACTGATGTTCTTTCCGACATGCTTCCCATCGTCCTGTCAAATGTGTGGCCGGAGGCTGAACAAACGACTGAAGTGCTCCGACAGCTTGAGTTGTCAAGGCAGGCCGCAAATCGCTTGGATGGCTATCGACCCATCAAGAGCACAAATAGGATCCACGAGCCACCAAGTGCTTCTAGTAATAGACCGCCCAAGGGATGTAGATCAACGCCTCAAGCGCCGATTGCATCACCCTCGACCTGCGGTTGTGAGTCCTGTCAGTCTAGAAGGCGCATAAGGTAGAATATTTTGAGGGGCGCAAGCACATGTTTGGGATGCCATACAAGATCGCATCAGAATTCCACCGAATTGTCCGATTCAGCCCAGAAACGTGCCAGGTTGGACGCAGACCTTCATATGGCAGCCGACCTGATCCCACAGAGCTTCTTTGTCCTCAAGAAGGAAAGGAAGCGTGACCTGCTCGGGACGCCAGACGCGGGGCCAGTGAACAAACTTAGTCGTAAAGACTTCAGTGGTGACCCTCCCTTCCCATTGGACGTTTCGCCCAATCACAGTGTGCGCTATGGGAACAGTGATTCCTTTACTTTCGAAGGGCCAAGGCATGTTGGGCTTTAGAAGTGGCAGTCTGTGGAACATCCAAAGTTGATCAAGAAGATCGCATCAAGCTGGAGGCCAAATTCTGAGAAGAATGATTTGTTTTGCTTGAACAGGGGTTCGACGAAACAAAGAGCTCGAGACTTGTCGTTTGGAACGAGGGCATGGAAATGGTCCTCCACCTGGCCCAAGAAATGAGATCTATGTGAAGGATATGACTGCTGCAGAGGTTCGACTGACAATTCCTGCTCTGGTCAAGGCCTTCGCCATTCACTTTGATCGTGAAGCGATCCGCCCAGTGCCATTGGGTCAGATCATTCCTATAATCAACGCGTGATCCGATCTTGTATGTGATCAAGGGGCGATTGACGCAAGGGTTTGAACCCAAGGGTAGGTTGTGTGTTGGGGGCATTGAGATCCTGATCTGGGGAAGTATGATGCGGCCAGTCCGACAGCACGGTCGCGCTCTACTCCTTTTGTGTTGCAACGACTTTGGATATCGCGGATGTCACAGCTGCCTTCCTACAAGGTCTAGCGTTGCCTCGATCCGACCCATTGTATGTGCAGGTTCTATCAGGATGTCCTCCAGAGGTGTTGGAGTATATGCGCTCGCGACTTGGCGCAGACAACCGAAGTGATCTGTTCGAAGCAACAAAGGGCATTTTTGGATCTCCGGTTGTGGTTTCAGATTTAAGGAAACCTTGGCTGAGATCTCCTTTCATGAATCTAAAAGGGTTCCATGCCCCTCAATGAAGCACAATGAACAAGGACAATTGATGGGCCTGATCATGATGTTGACGATGCATTATTGGCCGGAGGGCCAGAGGTTGAAGCCCTTTGGAAACTCTTGCAATCTCGTCTGAAGTTTGGCAGTTGGACTGACTTGAAGGAGGGCGGAAATTTTTTTGGACGACGTGTTATGAAGCAAAGCGAAGACCCTGCAGTCATCATGTCGACATGAACCTGTCAGAATCTGCCAGAAATCGACTTCAAGACTGCCATGAAGGATCTGAATTGGTTTCTCCTTACAAGAAACACAGTTGCGTGCCTTGGTTGGACAATTGGGATGGTTGGCCAAACAGGGTCGTCCTGATTTGGCCTTTGCTGTGTCGTATCTCCAACAGAACTTGGTAGATGCCACTGGAAGCACGATTCCTTTGGCCAATAGTACTGTACAGAAACCAAAACAAGAAACTTGCTATCGCATTGGGGCGCCCCTTGAGTGATGTTATGGCGCTGGTGGCCACAGATGGTGCCTTGGCTGCGATGCCCAGAGGCAAGTCACAGCTTGGCGTTTTGTGACCCTAACCGAAGTCAGCGCTGTGGCCCGCGTCGAGTGGTGCAGTACTTCATGCAAGCCTGTGGTTCGTAGTTCCTCAGCAGTGGAGGCTGCCGCTGCTTCATTGGGCTACGAGCACGCCGAATTTCTGAGGGCTATGTTGCGTGAAGTAAGAGAAGCTGGCTTTGTCACGAGGAGATGGTTCGGACATGTGAAGAGTTGCTCGATCCTGTTGGTCCTTGACGCCAAGGTGGGGTATGACTGCTTGTCCAGTGAAGAGCTTCCTCAAGACAGAAGGAAAGCTTTTCAGATCCGAGTTCGTCTTCCTTTTGCCGCTGGATCCCAGGTCCTCAGCAAGCATCCGATAGCTTGACAATGCTGAAGGGGAACAATGTGCTGCAGGCCGTTATGAATACTGGCCAATGGACGATTGTGGAGAATGATGCATGGCAAGAGGTTCGGGCGCAACAACGCCTGACACAAAAGGCGTATAAACATTGGCTGAAAGCCAGCAGGGGGGGCAGCGGGCGAGTCAAAGGACAATTGCACCAGCGTGTCCGTTGATCCTTTGTTGCATGTCCAGTGAACTGGAGCCCATTGCGGCCCAACTCCAACTTGCAGTGAAAAAGGAGAGCGCCCGCTTTGTGTTTCGCGTCCATGGTTGCGCTCGGCTCCCTACCGCAATAAGTACTTTGATTGCAAGTAAGTTGGTCGCGTCGTGAATGTCATTAGGACGAGGTTTCTACATAACGTTGCCGAGCATTATATGAGGTAAACAGGGATACAACTCTACCATGACGGTGTTTACTGGAATGAGGCGCGTCATCCTATCTTTGAACGCTGGGACATTGCAGCGCTTTGTGCCTCACACACACAGGTACCGGGGGAGAATATATATATATAGACACATACATACATGCATGCATGCATACATACATACATCCATACACACATACACACACATACACATACACATACACATACATACATACGTACATACACACATACATACTTACTTAGATTGCATTGCATTGCATTGCGTTCCATTCCATTACATTACATTACATTACCATACATACATACATACATACATACATCCATACACACATACATACATACATACATACATACATACACACATACATACACACATACATACACATACACACATACATACATACATACATGCATACATACATACATGCATACATACATACATACATACATACACACATACATGCATACATGCAAACATACAAACATACAAACAAACAAACACACAAACAAACAAACAAACAAACAAACATACATACATACATACATACATACATACATACATACATACATACA